CCACCCTTGAAGGTAGTTAGGACTTAATTTACCTTTCTTGTTCCAGGCTGTTAGTGGAACGTATGCTGAACATTCACCTGGTACCCTATCAGAAACCTGTGAATGAGAGGATGATCAAACTCCTGCACTTGTATGCCACCTTAGATGAACATGCTGTCAAGTATGTGATTTTTGTCATTATTTTTGCTGAGATTGCTTTTTTGCTGTTTTTCTGTTTTTTAAAGTTTTGGTGGAGGTTTTTACAGGGCTCGCAACTGCTTAAGGTAATATGAGCGCCAGAAGATTAAGAGTTGTTACAAGAGAGTAACAAACATAAAAAAGGAGGAGGGGAGATAAGGACGATAGGTGTTTGATAGGAAAGAAGAAGCAAACCACACCAGAGCACCTGCCAACCACCCATGTGTATTTCTGTATCATTGCGTGTGGCATCAGTGATAGATAGTAAAATAATTGTTATATATGTTATAGAGCATATTTCTTAGCTGATATGTAAGTGGTGGTGTTTTTTTAACTTTTGCATTAGCCAGAAAAACAATTTTTCTGAATTCAGCCCATAGCTAAAGAGATAATATAGTGTAAATTGTATAGAGCTTGCTGTTGAGCGGGGATATGCGCTATACAAATGCTATCTATTATTATTATTATTTTCCCTTTGACTTTCTATGAGAATCGAGATTGGCTAATTCCTTACATTTTTCTTTGCAGGGCTTTCTCTGAGATGCTGAAGCACAGAAACAAGTAAGTGCAACAGTTACCAGTCCTTGCTCCGTGATAAATGTTAGATGTAAAGGATTTTTTTTTACACTGTGTGATTTTTGCCTGATGTGGTTGGGTTTATTTCCTGACTAATCATTAAACCATAATTCCATAAGGTTAAATAAATATTTGGTAAAGACTATTTTTGTTATCCCAACAAATTTTTGCCATACAATTGCATCATTTAAACAAATTATGCATCTTTAACAGGAACAAATGAAAAGTATGTGCTGAGAGAGGGATTGAGGGTATCCCTTTACTCATCAAAAGTTAGATGTAAACTGTTAGTCCTAAACATTTGCCTGTCGAATCTTGACATGATCAAAGTAAATTTTTGTCACACACACATGCACACACACTCAATTTACTCTTTGAAACTGACTTGGTAAAAGTAAATCACACACTGGCGTACACGTGCAGACACACACACACACACACAAATTTACCATCTGTCATTCTGTTTATAATTATATTGCTCTTTTTTTAAAAAAAAGATAATTTCTGACCTACTACTGAGCTTGCCCTCATGGTGTCTCATATTTGACAGTGGTACCCTCATGAGTCTCATTTCGGTTTTCACAGCGTGCGTCAGATTGTGGCCCAGCTCATTGATGCTCACGACAGGGCTAATGAACAGAATCCCCCGCCCATCATGCCCAAACTGATACAGCTTGCACGTAAGTTTTTTGTTCACTTTTTACTATGTAAAAAAAAAAAGATTTTCAAGTAATTGACTCGTTAATTTTTTGGATACTGCCTTTTTATTTCCTCTCCTTTGTTTTCCTTTGATAGATCCCTTTAACTGTAAGTTCTTTCAATTGCGCAACTCAATCTTTTAATTGAAAGAAATAAATGCAACTTACTACAAAGCTAAAAGGGTGCTTTTTGGATTTAAAAAAATAATGTTGTGCCTTGAAACAGCCCATATATTGTGTTACTGTCATTGTTTTTAAAAAAATGGTGATTCTCTTTTGATTTTTCAATGTACTACTAGATATTGCGATGATGAGATATTAAGTCAGCTGTTATTTCTTGTAACAGGCACTTTTCCAGAACATTTGAAACCTAATGAGTATTTGAAGAAACTCAACTTGATTCTGAAAGATGACTCCCGTCTGCGACTTTTGATGAAGACACTGGTTGGTCCATCCTGCACTTGCAAGAAAGCTGAAGAGATTGTTGTGAGTAATCTGCCCTCTGTCTTTGTTTATCGTGGTATATGGTACTTCAAATCAATGCTCCTGAGCTTTTACTTCATCTTTTAATCTGATGACGACAATGGATCACAAGTGTTTAAAGGAAGTCACAACACTAGAGGGAGAAATAAACAACTGGCACTTACTGTAGAAGTTGTACAGCTTGCACTCTGGATTGAAGTAAACTATTGTTAAGACAGTAAAACCCTTTTACCCTTGGAGGGCTGTCTAGATGCCTGCCCTGATTTCTTAGAACAGGGAGAGTACACCCCTAAAATACCATATATTTTAAAAGATTTATTTTTAAAATTCTTATCGCAATGATCTGAGGAAAAACCCTTCCACTGTGTTAGGGAAAGAACGCTGGTTCTAACAAGTCTTATTTCCACTGTTCTACAGTATTCGCCGATTGTTTATTCCTCCCGCTATCGTTGCAACGTCCTGATTGCACTTGTTATCCATCATCTTCGTCAAATTATGACATAAAGTAAAAGCTCTAGAGAATTGAAATTGAATAACAGTATTACCAATGATTACGAAATGAACTTTTATTATGTCTTTTGTGTTGTCAAAGTTTTTTTGTTTTTTGTTTTTTTTTGTTACATGTCCTGGGTAATCCTCATTGCGTCCCCTGATTTAAAAGTAAATAATAGTGGATCGACTTTGTTCAATTAACAATTAGAATTTAGAAGAAAGCTGGATTCCTCATTAATACCAGTAACACAATGCTAGCATGTGGAAATTCAGCATAACAAATCACTATTTTGAAAATTTACCGCTAGGTCTCAACTTGTTGGCTCCTTCCTATGCTTCTAGTTTGTTAATGGTTATCGCATATGGCTAAGAACTGTGGCAGTGGGGTTCACAGTGAGGCTGCAGGAAAGAGCATGCTATGGTCTTCATGGTGTGCGAAAACTTGCAGGTAAAAATTTTACTTTTATCAAAGGCGATGCCGTTGTTATGCGTTTGATCGCAGGTTTTAAAAAAATTTTCTCTTCAATTTAAAAAAAAATCAATATTTATTTTAATGCATCTCTCAGGGTTTTATTTCTTTTCCTTTTTTTTTCTTTCTCCAGAAAGAAATTCTGAAGAAGATTGGCTGCACTTCGGGTACTCCAAACTTGCTGTACCAGTTGGTGAAGACACTGCTGGAGCGTGTGGCCCCCGTAATGGTGGATGCTCTGGCCATTGACCACCTGGTGCTCTCTGTCTCGGAGCTGGTGGCCGGGGTGGAGGAAGAGCTGACCCGCAAAGTGGACACTGCCGACCAGAAGGGGGTCAAACTCTTGTTGGTACGTGTGTGCATTCAGTTAAGGACTTGTTGGTTCTAGTGTGTGTGCATCCGGTCATGGACTTGTTGGTACTATTGTATGCATTCACTTTCGGACTTGTTAGTATCTGTGCACTCAATTATGGACTTGTTGAAAAATCTGCCCTCAGTTCTGAACTTATTGGTGTCTATTTGTTCAATTATGAACTTGTTGGTATAGATGCATACTTAGTTTTTGCCGTTTGTTGTAGAATTGTACGTTTATGGCAAAGAAGAGCTTCAGTGTGGTCTGTTTGGCTTCTTTCACTTCTTTTCAATAGTTCTGTTTTCAAATACTGTTCCTGATGGATTATGACATGGCCATACACTAGCACTTGACATGTTCGTACAATTATTTGTGTTTGTTGAGTCAACATGGAGTAGATGTTGGTTCGTGTATTTGTGTGGGTTTATGGAATGAATTTTGCGGCTTTTGTGTTGACACCTCATTACAATTCAACAAAGTTGTGTATTATGTTAAAAAATTTATATCTTTGACTGAAAAGATTTAGCTCTTGAAGGCATTGTGTTGGCGTTGGGACAGAATTTAAACATTTGGTGTATGAATATTCATTTTGAAAGCACTGTTTTCCTGTCATAACAAATGAATGGGCTTGCTTTCAAATAAGTATTTTCTTTTGAATTTCAGACATTGGCTTACTACTTCCCCCATTATTTCAAGTCAGTGGAAATCTTTGAAAACTTCCTGACGTTTGTGAAGAACGATGATGATGTTGTCAGTAAGTAACTGTCTATATTTTGCTGATATATTTCAGTTTAAAATAATTTTTTTTAAAGGTGTGATGATTTTGGCACAATAGTATAAAACATAGGGGGGGGGGGGTGTAAAAAGATGCTTGTGTTATAGCTTTAAATGAATTGGCTTGTTTTGTCCTCTTTTGTTTTCAACTTTAGGGAAATATGTATACTTGGTTATCATGTCAAAATTTCTTCTGTTACTCTTTTGTGTTTTCAGCATTGGGGATGGTGTGTGTGTGTGTGTATTCAAAAGATATTTGTCCCGTAGCTTTTGATGACTCCCTGTTTTCTCTCAGGTGTGGGGGTGGTTCGCGGGTGCACTAATGTGGTCTGCTCCTTCTTTTCGATCAAACATCTATCGTCCTTTTCTCTCCTTTTTTTTATTTATCACTCTTGTAACACCCCTAATATTTGGCACTTATATATAACCCTATTGTATTGCAAGTGCTGCAAAACTTTTACTAAAACTAAATGAAGTATGTGTGCTCTGTGGTTTTAGCTTGTGGAAATATATTCTCCTCAGGTGACCTGGCCTTGCAGATTATCACCCACACAGGCTCACACCTGCACATGGAGCACCCAGAAGTTTACTCGTGAGTTGTTTCTTTGTGGTACAGCTTTAAAAAAATTTGAATTCTCTTTTTCCAGAAGTAGTAGGAGAAAAGTTTACGAGTTTTCCCTTAGTTTTTTTATCTGTACCTCTTGCTTATAGCTGAAGCTATCATGTGTGCCATGGTAATGCTGCTTTTCGACCCATGTATGAGTGCACTTCACGGCCAGTATTTTTACAGACATTTCTTGCTGGTGGGTTGTGTTTGTTCGAGTTGCATTGTGGCCTTTTTAAGTGGCCACTTGGACTTCTGTTTCAACCTCTGTACTTGTTTGGGGCAGTATCTGAAACTGAGGGTGGGTTTGTCAGAGTCCTGAGTTTTTATTTCTAATTAATACTTGTACAAATTTTCGACACTGATCTCCCATTTTCTGAGCCACTATGAAGGTGCTCTATTAACTTTTTGAAACTGAGTCGTGTCCGTCCCCCCACCATCCCTCCGTGAACCACACTTACGTTTTTACACTTTAACATTTTAACCTTGAGTTTCTGTGTGACATACCAAGTTGGTGTCCTACTGTGCCACAACAGCTGGCTGTGTGAGAAGAGTCCTGTGATTACTTCGCCTTTGAAATTGTTCTCCTATCACATTTTCCAGTGGGTGGTTGGTGGGTGCTCGGGTGTGGTTTGCTTTTTCTTTCCTATCAAACATCGTCCTTATCTCCCCTCCTTTTTTATGTTTGTTACTCTCTTTAAACACCTCTCATCTTCTGGCGCTTATATGACCATATACAATTGCAAGCGCCGTAAAACCTCTACTGAAACGAAGATTTCCCAATTTTCTACGATTTTCATTTTTTTAAATGCTGTGAACCTCGCATCTTTTTAATTGATCAGCATGATCATTGCAGAGTGATATTGATGCCGTAATGAATTTTCTAAGAAGAAATACATATTTTTCAACAGGTCTCTGGTTCCCATCTTGATAAACCTGGCAAAGTTTGGCTCACCTAAGCAGGCCAAGCATGCTCTGAGATGTATCAACACAATCTGCATCAACAAAGAACAGGCTGTGGCCACTATCTTTGAGGTAAGAAGAATCTAGATAAAGGCCTGTCTGTTTGTGAGTGTTTCATGGGTGTGCTAGTGTGGTTTGCTCCTTTTTTCCTATCGAACATTTATCGTTCTTATCCCTCCTCCTTATATTTTGTTTGTTACTTTCTTGTTACACCTCTATGTCTTTAGCACTTATATAACCTTATTGTGTTGCAAGTGCTGTAAAACTCTAACAAGTGGGTGGTTAGCGGGTGCTCTGGTGTGGTTGGTTTCTTCTTTCCTATGAAACATCTATCGTCCTTATCTCCCCTTCTTCCTTTTTATGTTTGTTACTCTCTTGTAACACCTCAAATCTTCTGGCGCTCATATGACCTCATGCATTTGCGAGTGCCGTAAAACTCTTACTAAAACTTTTTAAAAAACTCTTACAAAGACAAATAATGTTGTGGATGCTTAGTATTTTTTCCCCTTATTTCTACTCTACTCTTGTTAGTTATTATCAAGTTTTTACAAAACTGTTTTCTAATTAATACTGGTAAACAGAAGAATGCCAGCTTAGCAGTACAGATGTAAAAAGGAGATATGTTTCTAATAATTCTTTTCATGGTTTTAGTTATTTATGAAGTTATTTTTGTTCTTCTCAATTCAAATTTGTTCTATTGAGTACCAGTGTTATAGCTGTTTCACTGTTGACTTTGATCTGATAGCAAATCCAAGGTGCGCTGAATCCGGACAATGCCAACTACCTGACTGCCATCGTTTCCCTCGGCCACATTGCCCAGCTCTTCCCCAAGCCCTTCAGCTCTGAACTCAAAGGCATTGTTTCCAAAGTCATTGTCAAAGATCTACTCATGAAGGACAGGGTAGGAATCATTTTGTTTTACATGATGATGGAAGACGGCGATCTTATTCTCAAATTGAGTCAAATCTCTGTGACTTTTACACAAGAGAAAGTATACTGTGTTATAAATGCAGTGATTCTTATAATTGTTTAGTATGTTTCTCGGTCATGGGTGGCTGATGGGTGTTTTGATGTGAATTACTTCCCCTTATTCTGTTTGAATCGTTAAGATCAAATGTCCGTGTACTGTCGAATCATTATATAAATATATATTCAGTCGAACCTCCCGTAACGGCCACCTGTATAAGAAGACAATTACCTGTACAAACGTAAAGTGGGTAACGTCTTTCCTTTTCACTTTCTGTTTTCTGGGTGGTGAAAAAAGCAAATGTTAATTCCACATTTTAATGTCTGTTGTCCATATCTTTAGTCACAGATGAAAAAGGTATTATTGATTATGACTACCGCATCTCATAATAACATATCAATTTAGTTGTTGCTATCAATCCAGAACATATCGATTTAGAAAATAGGTAATTTTCTTGAGGTTCACATGTTACTATTGAATTACATTATACAGTATAACACGGATAGCTCAAATTTGTCAGGGCTGGCCTCAGTAGTTCGAGGGGTATCTCACAAAGATAAAGAAAAAAAATGGGACCGTAGGCACAGTTCGATGAATGCCTGATTTCGAGTCTTCCATCCGTGTTGTACTGTAGCTTCATGTAGACTTTTTACATTGCAGATGTTCTATGTTGTCTCTCACAACACTTGTCTGTCCTCAGACCAAAGGTGTGACCACAGAGGAACCTTGGTGTGCTGACCATCAGGTGTCGGAGGAGACTCAGGCAAAGGTAATGTGTACCTCTGGGGTAAACCTGCTCCTGGCTCCATTGTTTATTCAAGGGTTAGAGATGTGGTTGATTTGGGTGGGAGAGGCTTAACACTTTGCGGTCACTTGGCGCGATAATTTGACTGAAAATTATCGGTGCCAATCCTGTGCCAGGCCCTAGAAGTCCATTAAATATAATAATATATAACATTTATAGAGCGCATTTCCAAAAAAAGTAGCTCAATGCGCTTTACATTGGAATACCCATTTTTCAAAAACCTTTCTTACTACTTCCTTTCTTCTCAAGCAATATACATTAATGCACACACACACACACACACATACACACACACACTCTCCTGGCTGGATGACCAGGTGGGGGTATTTTCTACTGCTGGCTGTGTGACTGCAAAGTGCTGATAGAAATGTCCTGGTATGGAACTTTTCCTGATGTGATATGTGCTTAGGAGTAAAATGTCATAACTCCTGTTGTGAGGTAGTTTTCTTGTGCAGCTTTGAACAAAGTTTCTTACACAGGTAGTGAAGACCATTCTTAATTCATTAATAAGACTAGTATATTGTGGAACAACAGCAAATGCTCCCCCTAATTGTAGCACAAAAGTGTTTTTGTAAATCAAATATGATACAGTAATGTTCTAGGGGGCTCTCGTGGCCTAGAGATGTTCACCTCTCATTCAATAGGTCCCAGGTTCGAATCCAGATAGCGATGGAATTTTTCTTTTCTAAAAAAAATTGTCTCCTTTCACCTCCTTTCCTGCTCTCTAGCAATGTTCTGTCGTCTGCTTTCGTCTCCACTTTCTGCCCTCACCCTCTTTGCCCCCTCCTCTGGGCTTCTGACTCTTTCTGCAGCCTTTCTACTGCTTCTTCTTGGCTCCTTCTTACTGCTGTTTTTCAGCCACACTCCTGGTCTTCTGGTAGGAAAGATCTACACCTAGCCTTGTCGGACAAGGGCAAAAAATCTCGGAGGTCCCGTGTGCAAGTTGCGCTCGTTAAAAATCCCTTGGTGGTCCAAAATCGATAAGAGTAGGCTTTGGCTGCCACCCGGGCAAAATTCTAAATTTCCTACCTACTGAAAATATCATATGACCTTATGCAGTTGCGAGCGCAGTAAGACTGTGTCTCTTACTTTTCCCCCAGCACTAACTGATGACCTTTGTGTGGATGTGCTTCTCTTTGCTACGAATAAACAATAATTCCCGTGTCTTTCTTTCCTTTGCTGGTCGTGTACACAGATTCAAGCGATGAAGCTGTTGGTGCGGTGGCTGCTGGGCCTCAAGTCCAACACGAGCAACTCCGGCACCTCAACGCTTCGCCTTCTATACACTGTTATCATACACGATGGTGACCTCATGGAAAACGGGATGACCAAGTAGGTGATCTCTCTCACTGTGGCAACCTTAATGAGGTGGCTGTCGGTGCAGTCGTTGTACGCCTTCCAATTACAGGATATTTTAATCTACTATTTTTGTGCCAATTGTAGATGGCAGAGCTGTATTTATTTTTATTTTTTTTGCATCCCTTGGCTTACTAATAGCCTAAACTTGTCACCATAAAAGCCTCTGTGGCTTCTGTGCCTTTTGACTCTGCTATGGTGTCCCTATTTTGTATTCTTCGTTTGAATGCTTTTCAGGTGAGTTTGTTTTCTTATTTAGAATCCCTTTTTCTAGTCCAAGGATAGTGTTAGAGTGGCTGGCAGGCTGCCAAACTATGTATCCCCTCGGGTATACTGAGATGGTGATTTTGAATGAATAGGCTGGTTATGGTGTCATTGTTATTTCTTGTAGGTCTTAAGCTGAAAGGTATTTAGGACTATGGAGTGGCACTTTTAGATTTGTGTGTGTGTGGGGGGGTGTCGTTAATCTAGGGGTACCTGGTTCTGTTCCAGATGTGTGCTGTCATGGTTGATGTTTTCCTACATCTTTCACTTAGTTAGGATTGGATGATAAGATTGGGAAACTTGGAAGGCCTTGGGCATGTGTTTCTCCAGCTAGTTTGAATTCGCCTGATCAAAGAAAGGAAATATAAATTTTAAAAATATATTTTCTTATCTTTGTTGTTTTAGCAAAATTTTTACGACACTTACAACACAATGTCGTTTTTGAAAAACTTAAGTGGCATACTTATAAGTTTGTTAAAAAACTGATCTCTCAAAAGTTGTCTTGCATTGTTTATTTTCAGTAAACCAGAGCTGGCCAGATTACGCCTCCAGGCTGGTTGCTGTATGCTCAAACTGGCAGAAGAACATTGCTACGCTGAGATTATCACAAAGGAACAGTTCCAAGCTCTGGCACTTATGCTGAATGTAAGTGAATGCTGTGGATGTTAGGTTTTGGGATATTGTTCTGCCAAGCGCCTGAGAAGTTCTGACTATAATGTAAACTAATTCTGAGTAAGTCCATATTACGACACTGGCTCCATTTTTTAAACGTTTTGGTCTTGTTTTGTTGTAATATACTGCATCATATGTTTCAAATGGCCTTCCAGTGTTTAAAATTAATGCAGCGTTCAAATGTTTAGTGGACTCCTTGTCACCCTTCCTTCTTATTTTCTTCAACTTGGAAAACTGAAAGAAAAAAAAAGGAGTGGAATTTATGCCCTTTTTGGCTTGTCACCGTGTAAATACATATCAAAAAGTACGGTATAATCCACTTATATCGACATGTTCTGGGAAGTGGATTTGATATCGATATATAAAATTGTCAATAAATGAAATGTAAAGCCGAAGAGGAAAAACAAGGGGAGGTCTGCTGTAAAAAGACAACACTACATTTCTAAGCGGGTTGCTTCCCTTGATTTTAACACAACTACAGAGTGAAACTAACAAGAGGCAGAGGGGGGAGGAGGAGGAGTTACGGTACCAAAGATGAGCAACGCGAGGCGCACACTACACACCAGCGCAAACTTTGTTGTAGCATCCTTGTAAAGCCTGTTTACGGCCGCTTGCTGGGGAAAATGGAAAGTCGAGGCACTGACTCACTGACCGTGGCACTTGCCAGCGACAGACTGAAAATGGGATGGGAAAGGGGAGTGGGGGTAGGGAGGGGAGGGGATGTCAGCACGCGAGACGCTCATGTCTGTGAGGCACTTTACTGTGTTGGAGACTACTCTGTGTAGGCCCTACATGACCTACTAAAGCCTGGTGTGTCGAATAGGCTACTTGGCGGGTATGCCGACTTAATGAAGAACTAATGCGTTGACCGTTAGTGTGGCTTTTCCCCCCATTTATGTTCGTGGGCTTTGCCAGGTACCCAGGAAAAAATGTCGATACATGTGCCTAACACATTTATCCTTTTTTTTTTTAAATTTGAAAAATGATAATCGTTTGAAAGAACAAAATGATTTTTCTGTGTAAGTGCAAATAAGAATTATGGGATGAGTCAACCTCTTTTATCATTCTGTACCTATATGTACAGCGTCTTATCTTAATCAAAATCCAACGGTGAGGATTTTTGTACTTGTTTGTGTTTGTTGTCTTCTCGTATGTGTAATGCTTAATGCAGCTGTTTACAAATAGTGAGACTTCCCTCCCAGGATGTGTGCTACCATGTGCGTCTGAGGTTTGCCAACCGCCTGCAGAAGGGCCTGATCAGCCTGAAGCTCCCGCTGGAGTACATGTCCATCCTGTGCCTGGGAGCCAACGACCCGCTGAAGGAACGACGGGTGCAGCTCAAGCAGTTCCTCACCATGAACATCAACAAGAGACGAGACTACCTCAAGCAAAACCCCAGTGCCAGAGGTAGGACCTGTAACCTTTGCCTTTATTTGTTGAAAGATCAACTGGTTTTAGTAAGACTTGCAATGTAGGTAGTTGCGGGTGCTCTGGTGTGGTCTGCTCCTTCTTTCCTATCTCACGTTCTATCGTCCTAATCACTCCTTCTGTTTTGTGTTTGTTACTCTCTTGCAATGCCTCTAATCTTCGGCACTTATATGACCTTATTGTGTTGCAAAAAAAAAAAGATTCTGCCATACGCCATTTTGAAAAGTGGATGTATGACAGTGTCTTATACTGAGCTGTCAAAATATATTTGGAAAAATGCTGCAGATTTGTTTGCACTTTTATTGGCCTGCAGGGAGTTTCTTCAGTATCATCATTTGCCCTTTTCCACCGTGGTATTAGGTTTGGGCTGCCTAGAAAGGGGCTCTGCCTGCCGCTGTTTTTGGCGATTTTTTTCTACCTCCAGCAAGCTGTACACTGAAATTTGTTTAGTGAAACCAAAGTGTTTTTTGGAGTAGGAAAAATTGAACTGTCAACAGAGTGGGGCTTTCCTGCTGTTTTAGTAGAGTCTGTGCTTTTTCACAAATATTGGCGAGTACACAACGGCTGCTGTAATTATTTTTTCACCAACATAAGTCAAAGCATTCTTCTTGTTCAGGGTCAATAGATGGCATTCGAACTGGCCAGTTGGGCTTTTCATTCAGGTGTAGTGCATTTCACGTGCTGTGTGGGCAATTTTGGGGCAGCTGTGTACCCACCAATATTGATGAGTAAGCACAGAACGTATTACTTTGCTGTGGTTTAGTTGACGTTGCCTCCCCTCTGTGAAGCATACCGCTTTCCGTCCCCAGGCCGCATGTTTTACCTTCTGCCTGACTACGTGATCCCATACACCATCCATTTGCTGGCCCACGACCCAGACTTCAAGTCCTACGAGGACGTGGACAGCCTCAAGAGTCTCAAAGAGTAAAATCTTTTATTATCATTTATTTCATCTTTACTTTATTGTAGTTACTTTCTCAAGCGATGACTTTATGAAGGCTGTATCTGCATTGTATTTATATTTTTTTCTTTCCTTTCCCAGTAAGTTGTTGAAATTGGATTAAATGTTAAAGTCATTTGCTGGCGTTACACACACCCAACACCCCCCCTTCTGAGTTTCTACTTGTCAACAGTAATTATCTCTACTTTGAATTGGTCAGTGTTTGAAAAGCACATTACATGTTCCAAATGGTGTAGGAAAACTTAACCCTTTACAACAGTAACTCAAAAAGCTTGTTGGATTTATTTTCAAATCGCAACACTTGTCATAACAAGAACCTTGAAGTTTGAACAAACCGACTTAATTTTATACGTTAGGGGCCAGCACAGGGTTCCCGCAGCCTCCTTGAATTCAAAGAGTCCTTGAAAACTGCTTGAATTTGCATTCAAGGAAAAATCTGCTTGAATTTGGATTCAAGGAAAAATCTCCTTGAAAACTCCTTGAATTTTGCCAGATCAGACAGGAACACAGGGTGACTGCCAGGCCCGGGAATCCCGGGGGCCGCTGGAATTACCCAGGAATTTGAAAAAAAATCGCCTAGGCCCGGAATGCAACGGGAATTTTAAGAAATCTGTAAACTGCCCAGTGAAAGTGAAAGACCTGGGAAAATACATACAGGTTCTCAAATGTTTGAAAACCAAATCCGATAACGTCCTTGAGTTCATTTTTGCCGGTCGCGATTGTGATATATTCATTCGGCCTTTCCCGGCTTGAGGGTACG